ATGGAAAGAGATTCTGTATTCATGAGTCAGAAGAATTAAGGTGTTTAAAATGCCCATAGTAGTTAATTAAAGAAATCTACTGAGTCAAGGCAGTCTCAATCAAAATTCTGATTACATTTTTTCACAGAAATAGAACAAATGATCCTAAAATTTGTGTGGAACCACAAAAGATCCTAAGTAGCCAAAATAATTTTGAGAAAGAAAAACAATTCTGGAGATATCATATTTCCCGATTTCAAGTTATATGATAAAACTATAGTAATCAAAGCAATATAGGAACTGGCATAAAAATGGACACATAGACCAAATGGAACTGAATCAAGAGCCCCCAAATGAACTCACTCATATTTGGTCAATTTATAACAAAGAAAAATAAACAAGTGGAACTATTTCCAACTAAAACACTCTTGTACAGCAAAAGAAACCATCAATAAAATGAAAAGGCAGCCTATGGAATGGGAGAGAATATTTGCAAATGATGTATCTGATAAGGAGTTAATATCCAAAATATATATTTAGAAAAAAAACCTTTTACAACTTATAAAAGACACAAACGACCCAATTAAAAAAATGGGCAGAGGATTTGAATAGATTTTTTTTCCCAAAGAAGACCTACGAATGGCCAAAAGGTTTGTGAAAATGTTCTCCACATCACCAGTCATTGGGGAAATGCAAATCAAAACCACGATGAAATACCACCTCGTACCCATTAGAGTGACTATTGTCAAAAAGACAAGAGTTAACAAGTGTTGGCGAGGTTGTGGGAAAAGGAAGTTCTTGAGCACCGTTAGTGGGAATGCAAACTATCTCAGCCACTCTATAAAATAGTATAGACATTGCTCAAGAAGTTAAAAATAAACTACTGCATAATCCAGCAACCCCACTCTGGGTCTAAACCCAAAGGAAATGAAAACAGGATATGGAGGAGATAGTGGCACTCTCATGTTCATTGCAGCAGTATTCACAATAGCCAAGATGCGAAAACCACCCAAGTGTCCACAAAGAAGTGGACGAAGAAGATATAGTACATATACCCAATGGAATATTATTCAGCTATAAAAATAATGAAATCTTGCCATCTGTGACAACATGTGAATGAAACTTGAAGTCATTATGCTAAGTGAAATAAATCAGAGAACAATAAATACTAGACAGTCTCATTTATATGTGGAATCTAAAAAAAGTCTAACTTATAGAAACATAGAGTACAGAAGGGGTTACCAGGGACTCTGGAGTGTAGGGAATAGGGGGCCATTGATGAAAGGTCACAAAATTCCAGTTATAAGTTCTGAGAATCTAATGCACAACATGGTGATTATGGTTAATAATCCTGAATGACATACTTGAAAGTAGCTGAGAGTAGATCTTAAATATTCTCACACACACACAAAAAGATAATTATGTGATGTGATAGGGTATTAGATAATGCTATGGTGGTAATCATTTTGCAGCATTTAAAGGCATGAAATCAACATATTGTATGCCTTAAATTTATAAGTTGTTATGACAAGTATATCTCAATAAAGCTGAGAGAAAAGTAGACACGGGGATTCAGGGAGGAAAATACATATTTGTACAATGTTTCCCATTCACAATGGCATTCATAGGTCCTTGGCGGGAGAACGCTGTCCAAAGTTCTGTCTATGGCCGCACAGTCTCAGAGCACGGGAACGAGCCTGTGGTCACATCCCTTATCCAATACGAGTTATACCCCAGTCTACCGACACTCCCACCTTCTGCAGTGCCCCTCCTTTGGACTGACCTCAGGGTCTGCAGCTTCCGGTCACTTCCGGTCAATTTAAAACTCAAATGAGTATATGTAACATAACCAAAAGTGGGCAGTAGGGAAAATACAACGTGGTAGTATTGGAGTCCTCCACTCCCCAAATGGGCCACATACAGTAGTCCCCCCTTATCCATGGGGCATATGTCCCAAGACCCCCAGTGGATGCCTGAACCACAGATAGTACTGAAGCCTATATAAACTATGTTTTATTATACATACATACTTCATACTTATGATAAAGGTTAATTTATAAATTAGTTGCAGTAAGAGATTATCAACTAATAATAAAAAAGAACAATTATAACAATATACTAGAGCAAAAGTTATGGAGACACGGTCTCTCACTCAAAATAAACTTATTGTACTCTACTCACTCTTCTTGTAGCTATGTGAGAAAATTAAATACCCATTTGAGGACTCTCACTTCTTTACACAAAGGGAGCCCTTCACTACTCTTTGGCATATCCAAATTGCCAGCCTCCCTATTCTTGTGCCTTGGGGCCATTGTTAAGTAAAATAAGGGTGGGTTATTTTACTTAATAAGTAAACACCAGCACTGCAACAGTGCAGCAGTCATCCTGATAAGCATGGGGGCTACTCCCTGACCGACAGGTGCTCAGCGGTGAGCAGTCTATGGCATGGAGCTGAATAAAGGGATGACCACGTCCTGGAAAAATGTCGTGAGATTGTGTCACTACTTAGAATGACACACAATTAAAAACTTGTGATTTCTGCCATTTTCGTTTTGTTTTCAGACCGTGGTTGAGGGCAGGGAACAGGGACTGCAGACAGTGGGACTGTGGACAAAGGGGTTGACTGTAGCTTTATTTTCTAGATTTTCAAGGAGTTGCCATTCCACACTGTGACAGAAAATAAATAGGACTTTGAATGACATTTCATAACGAATATAGCTGATTGACTGTTCTACCATGTTTCATGCTCTCTCAGGTCTGGAAGCTGAGAGTCCCTCGTCCAATGTGTCCCTAATCTTCTCAATTATGAGACTTGGGTGAATGAGGCAGGAACACACTACTCAGCCACCATAGGGGGAGAGTGTTCTTATTAACACAAAAGTCTGTTTCCTGGCATTTCGTAATAGCTTTATATGGTTTCGTTTTTTAAATTTCATTTTTTCAATTACAGTGTATATTTAATATTGTTTGTATTAGTTTCGGGTATACAGTAGAGGACTTAGACAATCATATCCTTCACAAAAGTGTCCTTTGGTATTCCTAGTACTCATCTGCATATCTGGTTTCAGACTGATTAAACAGGTGTGTTGTTTTTGTTTTTTGTTTGTTTGTTTGTTTTTATCTTTTAATAGAAGGGGAAAGCGTAAATGAATAACAGCCAATGGTCACACTAAATTGCTACCAGCTGTTCTGCAGTTAGGAGTAACAGCCAAGCATTCTCTTTATAATCAGGCAGTCTCCTTTATTAGAGTCACTGCACGTTTTAGAAGAGAGTCAAACTTGTCCTGACTTCCAGATAATTTTAAAAATACTACAAACCTTGATGACTGTTGGAAATTTTTGGAATTTTAAAATATCTTGTTTTGAGATAAAAGCATTGGTTTATGATTGCAAGGTTCTTGCAATCCCTTCCCCATTCCCCAACCTCCCCCCAAAGAAAATGTGACTGGAGAAGTTTCTGTAAGAAACACACAAAAGCCTGGCATACGTGGGCATCCTCTGATTCTCTTAATAGTTTTGAGACAAACAAGCACCCTTAGTTAATTTCATTTTTCTTTCTTCACTTGTCCTCAAAACAGAAGCATATCTGGTCTTATTATCACCTCCCAAATCGATGCCTGGATTCTCTTTGTCATTGGCACATATCCGTGGTATTGAATCCTCCTTTTGCATCTTAAGTGAAGGACTCTTTCATACACATATCCTTGGCCTCCTTGTGTTTCAACAGGTTTTCCTGCTCAGCTGCTCTTAGAATCTGCCTTTACCTCTCTAAATTACATACCATTTTCTCTGGAAGAATTTTCTGATGGCTCCTTCCACCTGTTCTATCTGGACAGTAGCAGGAAGGTCATGAGGTTTGGGTCATGGTGGTGCCTCGTGTAAGTTGGTTTCTGAGTCTCAGCACGAGGCTCCCTTAATAGAAAGCCCATACAGACAAAAGATTCACGTACACAAGCTTACGAAAACCTTCTGGTCACCAACCCTCACAAATGCCCAAGGAATGATTAGAAAGACAAAGCTCTGAGTTTACCAGGTTTTTCAAGTATATAGACTTCTCAGAGGATTCATTTCAGAATCTTTAAAAAAAAATAGCCAAAGAAAAAGACCCAAGTGGACCTGAAACCTAAAAAGGAGTTAGACATCAACATTGGGAGAAATTCTAAATTTCAAGGCAAATTGCATTTAGCCAAAGCATATGTTTTACTTCTTACTTTTACAATGGGTGTTGGGGGACAGGAGAATGTAGATCACAGAGGGCTTAGTAAAGGGTGTGAAGTTTGAGATTTCCTATACAAAAAGAGCTGGAATTCAGAAATGCTGATCAATTACACCCCCACAAGGGTCTTTCTGCCTTGGAAGAGTCCAGGTTGGGGCCATTGCTGCTGGGAGCCCCATAACTCAACTGAGGAAAGAGGCAGTTTGCTCAGTGCCTTGACCTTTCACTCTGTGGGCGTAATTGATGAAATCCAGTGCAAAATGAAAATGCAGAGATCCCTTGCTAACAAATCAAGTATTTCAAGATGGCGGCAGCAGTGCCTTCAACTCAGCACGTGTTCCTTCTGAACACAGGACCCCGTGTGGCTGCACAGGTCACAAGGCTATGAAGCTAGTGGGTTTGTGGAAATAACAGCCCTCTCATCTCTCCTCCACTCCTCTCCTCCCCTCTTGCCTCTTCCTACTTAACCTCCACGCCTTGCACAGTCCCTGAAGCACAGTCCCTGGGTGGCTAACTGAGGGATATGCTGAGCTATAACACCGCCCGGGCTGGTGGCATCCATCGTTGCTTCAACTTGAAAAGAATTCAGTTCCTGGAGACACTCAGTACTTTCTTAATCTCTTTCTCCACCTCTGCTGTTAATGTAGTATCTGGCCTCCTCGGTGAAGCAGAGAACTTTTCAGAAATCTAGAGATTAAAAGTACCAGAGCTATCTCTTGCAAACCACAAGATGAAAATGTACTAACTTTTACTTCTTTTTCCCTTTAATCTCATCTCCTGTGGGAACTTTCTCTCCTGTTAAAAGAATGGAGGTAAGATACTATTATTATATCAATGTTTTGTCTTAATGTTTTAATTTTTGTTTGGCATGCCATCTATTGTCTATTTGCTGAGCACTGTAATCTTTCAGAAACTTTCTAATTTTGAATCACTTTAATATTCTTACAAGGTGATGAGGAAAATGAAGACAGGTAACATCTATTGCATGCTTATGGTGTATCAAGCACTGTTTTCAGAGCTTTACATGCATTATTTAAACTTATCCCCAGGAAATCCCTGAAATAGATAGTATTATTATCCCTATTGTACAGAAAAGAAACTGAGAGTTTCTTTCAACTGGAGAGTTCCAGTGATTTATGCAGCTGGTAAATTATAGGCTTGGAAATGGAACCCAGAACGGCTTCCCAAACTCTCCTCATTGTTTTATCCTGTAGATAAGAAAGTATTACCTTGTAATACAACAGTCGGCAATTTACAGTGATTATTTGCAGTCAGGCTGACTTTCATATAAACTCTATGAAATGTAATGACTATTTTTATCTAATTTTGCAAATGAAACTGAGATTAAAATGATTAATAATCAAGATAATAGCAGCTAATTTTTGTGGTACATTTTGATTACCATTTTTGCCATATCAATATTCGGCAACTTTATGGGGCAAGAACTATTATTATAAGGACACATATTATTTATTTTTTAAAACGTTTTTTATTATTCTTCAAGAAACTTCTATGGTGTTCTGCCTTTCCCCTCTGACCCCTCCCCAAGAATACATATTATTTATGTAACCTGATGCACCAAGAATTTCCAGGACCACATAGCAAACTACAAAGCCTCGATCTGATCTCAGGCAGACAGACAAGAACTCAGATTGGTAGCTACTATATTAACTACAGTTTAGCACACCTGTCCTCTCTGTGCATGTTTTCAACCACTCCCTCTATCCCTGGCACTGTAAAGGAAAGTAGAGAAATAAACAAATTATATCTGCGCCCTCAAGGAATTTATATTTTACCAGGAAAAATGCACACACATACACAGATTAGTTGCAAGACAACATAACAATGGAAGTATGTATTACAAATTTGAGGACTCAACAGAAATAGATCATTCATATGTACAAAAGGGCAAAAGAAAAAATTTAAACTCATTAGTAGTCAAACAAATGCTAATTAAAGAAAATTTCATACTATTTTCTACTTGTGATAACACAAGCACTCAAAAACTCTGCTGATAGAAAAAAATGACAATAACTTTTCTAGAAAGCATTTGGCAATTTTTATCAAGAAATGAAATGGTTGTGCCTATTAATTGGGTAAGTCCACTTTTAGTAATTTATGTTAAAAATAATAAATGTATGAGGCAATATAATTCAAAACGACTCCTTATTTTTTAGTGAAATGTATTAACAGTTTCAATATCTGCCAATAGGATAAGCTGATGTGATTGTAGGACCATGTTCTTGAAAAACATAATAGCATAAGCAAATGTTTATATCATGGTAAGTGAAAATGCAGGATACAAAAATGTATTTATAAAATAATTCTAACTATAGTTATATACTGTCTATGTATTCAATATATAGCATACATAATACTGTACATGTTATACTTATATATATATATGGATTATAACTGATGTATGTACAAATATATACAATATATAAAGGGTATCTATGTGGCCAACATAATAAATTTTCCAAATTTTTTAAATTTAAAATTTTGTGTTTATAGCACTCTGTTCTTACACAGCAAACAAGTGGTAATTTTAGTCAGAAGAAGCACAAGAGGTGTTTTTCAGAGGAGGCCGTGTCCTTCTACTCGAGGACACTGGGTTTGGCATTTCAGAAAAGGAACATTTGATCTATGTTTTGGAGCAGGGGTTGGCAAACTTTTTCTGCACAGGGCTGCGTATTAAGCGTGTTTGGCTTTGTGGGCCATACGGACTCTGTGGCCACACCGCTCAGCTCTGCTGTTGCCGGGCAAAGGCAGCACAGATCACTCACAGACGATCAAACACAGCTCTGCTCCAATAAAACTACTTATTGACACTGACATTGGAATTTTTATTAACTTTCACGTCTTTTGAGTTTTTCAACCATTTATAACGTAAACATTATTGTTCACTCACAGGCAGTATAAAAACAGTCAGGTCAGGCTGAATTTGACCTGTGGGTTGTATGTGGATCCTGCCTTAGGTAATGAATCATATGCGAAGACACTAGGCATGAAGGAATAACAAATTTCAGTTTGCTTTGGAGATTAGAAGTGGCATAGAACCCTGGTCATAACACTTGTTGGGAAAGTACAATGGGAGACCAGACTGTTAGTCCATAAGGAAAGATTTGTCCACATCAGAGCAGAGGTACAGGTGCACCACCCCTAGGGAGGGCGGGAGAAGGTGTAGCGGGGTTGCCTTACCTCAAACAAACCATAGCTGGCTGTCAGCATGGACAAAGCATTATGTGTTCAAAGGGAGTGGAGGTCTTCATAGAAACTTTTACAAATGGGACTCATCATGTTAAAGCAGACAGAAATAAGAATCAAATGTGTAGTGAGAATCCTTTCAATAGTCCATTTGACCAAGGAGAGCTGTCTATTATAAAAGTTAAAGTCTGACACCCAGGTAAAGGCCTAGAGCTTCCTGGGCTGGCACCACCTCCCTCCCTATTGGGCTTTAATGGCCCCACGGAATAACCAGGGCCTCAGCCCTGCAGCTCTTTCTACGGAGGACACCAGGCCTTTCTTCTGGGTCTGAAATTGCAGCTGGCAGGACCATGGTGACAGATATCATTGGGTGAGGATTTAAAAAATAAAGAAACAGGATGTCCAGTCAAGATGGAGGCTTAGGTGAACATGCTTTGCCTCCACAGCTACAGAAAAAAAAACCCTACAACTAGACTACAAAACAAGTATCACCCAGAACCATCAGAAAATCAAGCTGTATGGAAGTCTGACAACCAAAGATTTAAAGAAGCCACATCATGCAGACAAGTAGGAGGGGTGGAGACACAGAGACAGATGGGGAGGCTCAAAGAAGGGACGAGGTATGGGGAGGTGTGGAGACCACAGAGTGGCACAGAGAGGCAGTGGAATGGGCCACCCCACATCCACATGGGGTAGATAAAAATCAGGAGGGATACCTCCGGTGCAAGGGATCTCAGCTCCAAACCAGACCACCCAGCCTAGGAATCCAGCACCAGGAAGATAACTTTTGGCCATAAAAACCAGTGGGGTTTGGAGCAGTGAAAGAAACTGCGAGATGCTCAACAGACTTCTCTTAAAGGGCCCTCACACACTTAGGACCCACAGACCCACCACCTCTGGGATTCAGCACAACAGCTTGAAGGGCACAAGTGGCATATAGGGAGCAAGTGAAGTGACTGGAAACAAGGCAAGTGCTGGGAGACAGCTTCCTCCCAGGCAAGCCTCCAAAAGCCAAGCAGTGGCATTGTCCCCTCTCTGACCCTCCCCTACACAGAGCCACAAAGTGGTAACATGGGTTGCCCCAACCTGGTGATTATCTAAGGCTCTACCCCATACAATTTACAGGTATGCTTTTCGATTATAGGCCATGCTACTAAGACAGAGAGTCAAAGCAGCTCTACCTAATTAACAGAAATACAAATACAGGGAGGTTGCCAAATTGAAGAAATAAAGAAATGTGGCCCAAATGAAAGAACAGAATAAAACTCCAGAAAAAGAACTAAACAAAATGGAGATAAGCAACCTTTCAGATGCAGAGTTTAACACACTGGTGATTAAGATGCTCAAAGAACTCACTGAGTATGGCAACAGCATAAAAAAGACCCAGATAGAAATAAATGCTATATTAAGTGAAATAAAGAAAAATCTACAGGGAACCAATAGTGGAGGGGATGAAGCCAAGAATCAGATCAACTATTTGGAACATTAGGAAGAAAAAAGCATTCGATCAGAACAGCAAGAAAAAAAAAAGAATTAAAAAAATGAGGATAGACTAAGGAACATCTGGGGTATCTCCAAGTATATCAGTATTTGAATCATAGGGGTGGTAGAAAAAAAAAGAACAACAGCAAAACATTGAAATTTTATTTGAAAAAATAATGAAAATGTCCCTAATTTGGTGAAGGAAATAGATATACAAGTCCAAGAAGCACAGAGAGTTCCAAACAAGTTAGACCCAAAGAGGACTACAGCAATGCACATCACAATTAAAATACCAAAGGTTAAAGATAAAGAAAAAGATCTTAAAAGCAGCAAGAGAAAAGCAGAGAGTTACCTACAAACAAGTTCCCATAAGACTGTTACCTGATTTCTCTAAAGAAACTTTGCAGGCAAGAAGGAACTGGCAAGAAGTATTCAAAGTGATGAAAAGCAAGGACCTACAACCTAGATTACTCTATCTGGCAAAGCTATCATTTGGAATGGAAGGGCAGATAAAGTGCATCCCAGACAAGATAAAAGCTAAAAGAGTTATCACCACGCCATTATTATATGAAATGTTAGAGGGACTTATTTAAGAAAAAGAAGATCAAAACTGTGAACATTAAAAAGGCCACAAATTCACAACTATCAACAACTAAATCTAAAAAACAAACTAAGTAAACAACCAGAATAGGAACAAAATCATAGATATGGAGATCATTTGGAGGGTTATCAGCTGGGAGAGGGGAGAAGAAGACTGGGGGAAAGGTACAGGGAATAAGAAGCATAAATGATAGATACAAAGTAGACAGGGGGAGGTTAAGAACAGTATAGGAAATGGAGAATCCAAAAAACATATGCACAATCCATGGACATGAACTAAGATGGGGATTGCTGGAGGAAATGGAGGTACCAGGTTGAGAGGGGCAAAGGGGGAAAATTGGGACAAATGTAATGGCATAATCAATAAAATATATTTAAAAATGAAAAAAATAAGTGAAAGGGGGGCTTGGGATCAAATATCCATTATTGCCCCCCAAAAGAGAAACTTTATAGAAAGGAAGACCAGCCAGGTTCAGCTTGTCAGGAGACAAGAGAGGCACTGGCTTCATGTGCAACATTAACTGGCGATTTTGGAGAGAGTCCAGCAGATCATTCCAAAATAACTAGCATTCTGAGAACAGATCCCTGTGACCTCTGCTCCACTGTTCAGATGAACAACAGAACCAGCTGCTCCTGGTGTTGCTCCATCACAGTCCCAAGAACTGCTCGCAGAGAAACATGTCCCCTTGGACAGGGAGGAGGCTCCTCAGTTGCAAAAGTCAACAGGAGACACCAGTGGAAATTCTTTGCGTTCATCTTGTCCCTCAGTTTTTGCTGGAGGTTGAAGAACAAAATAGCTCAATTTGCCTTCATGTTTCACCTCTAAAATTTGACTAACTACATAAAATTTGAGGTTTATAAGTCTGCCAAAGAGCAGAGAAAAAGGAAAAGGAAGTTGTTGAACTCTCAAACTATGACGGGGCAGTCTCTCTGTCTCCATTTATAATATATTATATGTATAAAACTTGTATATATTTGGTACTGCATATTATTTCTTACCTTGTGGAGCTAATTCTAGGATAGATATACTACCAAAGCTAAGTCTTAAATGCTCCTGGATATATTACAGAGATGGAGAAAATTAATGAGAACCCTGTATTTTGTTATTGTGGTTTTTCCCCAGCGTGCAGAGGGTTTTCTCAGACTTATTATCTTCAAGCTCATAGAAAGGAAAACCAGAATTGCAATTAAGCTCTCATTTCTATTCAAAACTTATTTTTTTATTTTTATATATTTTTTTGCATTTTGTAGCTAATACTCAAAAGTAAATGAGAACTCGATACTATTATATCAACTGAAGTTGTTTTAAAAAATTAAGAGCTTTTTTGGAGAAGCAGCAGAAATCCAGAGTGAAAGATGATTTACTAATTGATTATTAATAATCCTTTCATCTGATGTTATTTTTATTTATTTCTCTCCTCTTTCTTGTTCTTAGTCTCCAGTGTTTTCTAAAAAGGAAAACACTGTTTTCAGTGTTTTTGTGTAATTAAGGAAAAACTATGAGTGCTTGTAATTTTTTTAAATGCAGAAAAAGAAAAAATAAAGCCACTAATAGTTAACACGTGACAGTGACCCTGCACGAATCATCCTCAGGTCAGAGACAGTGGGGGAAATATTTAGCTTTTACATGATATGGCTTTTTTGGTTAAGTGAAGAGTCCCACCTGTGCTTATCCATCCTCCTTTTTTTTTTTTACCAAGATATTATATTCATGCGTGAGACCATTTTGTAAACAGTGTGAGCTATTTCTGGTTACTAGGTATTATTATTCAGTTTCTTAAAGCACAGAATTCATGCTTCTCTCAAAGTTTCTTATTGATATCTTAGATCAAGTTTCTTCCCTAAGAAGTGGCCTCAGAGCTATTTCTCTGGGTGTTTTCTCAACCTTATGTGGCCCGTTTTTATGGCAGTTTTGCATTTTCTTATTAAAGGCCTTTGTTTTTAAAACCCCCAATGAACTACATGTAGTGAAATTCATGTTGGTTAATTAGGGAAAGGCAAGTATGAATTAGATAAAAATTCTATGTTGTAAAACATTATTTTAAAGTATACTGTTTCTTGGAAGTTTATCATTTTACCTGAATAAGTGGTATCTCATTTAATAAATTTGCTTTTAAAAACCAGCCACTAGTGGTTTGTAATTAAAGTATCAATTTTTCAAATTCAAGGGGGTCTTCTTAACAATTTAAAAATTTGCCACAAGTTCCAATTTGTTTAATTTCTTATCTCAAAACCCTTTAGATAAAGATAATAAAATGCTAGCTTCCAACAGTTATACAAATTAAATGAGAATACAACTTGAGTTTTATGTCATTATTAATGATAGAATTCTGATGAAAGGCATAAGAATATATTGAGATCATCACTGTGCCTACATATAAGTGCTCAATAAATACTTGTCAAGTGTGTATAGAATTATTACTATAATTCCCAGCATTCCATTAAAGAGGCAGTGAATATATAAAATGAGTACCAGCAGCATTTTCTATCCCCCTTGCTGTTCTATTCAATTGTTAATAGCAGATAAGCCTTTAATCTTATTTTTGTGCTAGCACTATGGAGTTTAGTTTTGCTCCACATGCACTACCCATTAACAACACACAATAATCTGAGTTCAGAATAATTACTTACATCACTCTACAGATTAGGACTTTGGGGCTCTGAGTCACCATATGATTTTTCCCCCAAGATACATGTTGAGAAAGTAAAGTAACAAAGCTAAAGGTGCTACTCAACTCCTCCGACAGCCATATCTCCGTTCTCCCCATTTATGTGGGGTTTTTTTTAATTTCTTAATGGAGTGTGGGAAGATGTGCGAGGGAGAGAATCTGAGCGTGGAAGGTGTCACACAGATGTGTGCAAGCTACAGAATCCAGGTACTTAACTACCTTCACACATAAATAAACCGTAAAGCTTTGGATCAGAGTATTTACTAAGCTCCATCATCTGTTGATCTCCATGATGCATACGTTTTTCGATGTATTTGTTTCCCTATGTCAGCTTATTTGTAAGAAGCATGTCAGGCTGCTTAACTAAGCACATTCAGATTCTATTTATAGTGAAACTAATAACAATACCCATAGTTTCCAAAGCTTTCCAAATTCATATCATATCTGATCTTCATAATAGCTCCCCAGAGTAGCTAGAGGTGATGTAATTGCAGGTGGAAATGAAGACAATATGCAGATAGAGCATTTCGACCAATTTGCTGGTGCAATTTTCTCCCGTTTCTGTGATGCAGATGTGGAAACTGAACAAAAGAAAAGGCAGACTGAGTGCTAAGAAACAGCATGTGATTGGGAACATTGTTCATTGCTTCTTTCAGTCAACCCCGAAAAGGTAACAAAGGCTTCTGCACCCAGTACAGAGGGGAGGTGTGCAGTGCGGTCCTGGCAAAGGATGCCCTTGTTTTCTTCAACGACTCCTACGTGGACCCCGAGGAGGCCCAAGAACTCCTGGTCCGCACAGCTTGGAATGAACTGAAAGCACTGAGCCCGCTCTGCAAGCCAGCTGCTGAGGCTTTGCTGTGTAACCACATCTTCCAAGAATGCAGCCCTGGGGTGGGACCGACTCCTGTACCTATTTGCAGGTAAAATTTAAAAATAAATAAATGGGAAAATGTATATATGAAGTTGCCGTGTGCATTAGTAAAGGCAAAAATTGGCGCTTGTCCGAAATAGAAGGCAATTAATTGGACAAAATTCCTACCATGGAAACCACTGGTGATACTTTATAATACAAGGGCTCTGAGCTTCTAGAAAATATCAGAAAAGTGTAATATTCTATTGCCCTTGTTATTGTTCACATTATCATTTTAATAAATATCCCTAGTTTCTATAAAATAAAAACAAAAACTCTAAACTAACATGGACCTCATTAGTAAGCTAAAATAGAGAAGGGCAAACAAAACCACATTTTAAGTGTTTCGGGATTATTTGCCAATAAATGTGAGACCATGAAGAGCGTTTCAGAGCATTATTTTATGTTACATGTATTTATTTTAAAATACATTCCACCCAATATTCCAATTACAGTATTGACACTCTTGTCTCATATGGGGACATGAGGGAAGGAAGTAGGGATGCACCCACAGCAGTGGAACGGGACTCAGCTTCTCCAAAGCCAGGGCTGAGTGAGACCTCCTCCCGTAACCTGCCGGGAAGGTGGTGCCACTCTGCTTTGGAAGATGAGCCTGAAGAGGTGAGGACTGTGTTTCTCGGGCCCTACTCGCTGACCTTGAGATTATAGGAAATCCTTCCAGGCTGGAAATTGATTGACAACCATCCATGGCTTTTAGTATATGTGTTTTCAAAACTCCAGGTACCTTCTTGTTGTGTACCTTTGTAGCGATGTTAATATAAAATCGAGAGAATAACAAATTATGGATTCTTAATCTAATACCTTTTGATTTTCAAAGTTCTTATTTTTCCCAAGAAAAAAAACATACTTTACAGGTAATCTTACTTTCGAAAGTAGCATTAATTATGTTTTAAAAACAAAACAAGATACCATTTCATCTCACAGGATAATATACTTCATCACGTCTTGCATTATTTATAATAAAATTGTCCTTTCAAAACCGTTTTTGCAAGAACAATGTGCTATGATGATGTTTTGAAAATAAAGAATTGAGGTGCTGCCACAAAGTTGGTTTGAACACGCCATGATTCGTCAAGGTTTGTTCTTTACAAAATGTTTTAGAGAATACTGCCTGGCGGTGAAGGAGCTCTTCTGCACGCAAGAATGGCTGGCGCTGGAAGAAAAGGCCCGCAGAGGGCTCTCCAGATCCGGGATGCGTCTGCACTCTGTTCCCGAATGCAGCAAGCTCCCCAGCATGCACTGGGGCCCGCAGGCGTGTACCAGACTGCCATACTTAGGTAACAGAGTTCTCTCAAGGCTTTGGAAGTTAAGGGAAATGTACTGGTTTTGAAGAAACTAAGGTGTGCACTAAAATCTCCTAATATTTCTAGGCATTACATTTTGTTGTTGCTGTTCTGCCTCCCTTGGTTACCTAATAACAAAATCCTACCGCTATCCTAATTGCACAGGTTAGGATAAGGATCTACTTCATTTGTTTGAAAAAAAAAATGAAAGAGCACTTTTAACTGCTGCTTGAGATCTTACCTTATTTCATAAGGGGATCTTAGGAGAGCTTGTAATGTTTCCTGGAATGTGCAGAGAAATGGCTAAGCAATTTCTCACACTGCCAGAGGAATGGAATAAAGGGCTGAAGTCCTCTTTCTTAGCCAATGAAGCAGATTTTCTAAGCATGCAAAACTAAGCCACATGTTTGTAAATGCTGACCTCCCCAAACAAAGCTGGATCCCTGCATGTTGCTTTGATGAACTTTTGTGGAACTCTAACAGCTGGTTTAATTTCAAAGACGCCATCCTTTCACATCTGAATGCAAAGAATGTTTTCCAGTTGCATATTAAAGGGCTGAAACAGAACTCCCTGTCCTTAGCACTCTCTTACAGAACATATGAAATATCTGGATGCTCACTTAAAACAAATTTTTATCCTTTCCCCCTCAGATTTTGTAAAAGAAAACCTAACAAGTAAGTAATTTTGTTCGTGCCCTTGAAACCTTATGTGTATGTAAGTGGATTCATGCATGTGTATTTACACTCATACTTCATAGTGTCCAGAACAGAATGTACAGCTCTGTCTTAGAGGCTTGTCGCTGTAATCACCCAGGGTAAAACATGAAGGAAAATCGTTGGAGGAGCTCTCAACTTACAGCTTCTCACTGGGCTATGGAGAGCATCATATTTACTGAATGATGCAAATAGCATCTACTTCAAGGTTGTCAGCTTGCTTGATCTCCTGTATGCCTCTAAAATAAGCCAAATTGAAAATGTCACCCTTTGACTTTGCATTCATGATTTTTGTATCAGTTAAATATTTGGAGTGAAGACAAATATCTTTTTCTTCATTGAGCCAATTCACAATCTTTATTTGTGACAACGGATCCTTCTTTTGGAAGGTAGATTTTTTTTGACAGCTAATTTCCAATAAAAAGCTTACAGGGACAAATCAAATGATGTTAAAGTGATTGTCTCAACATTCCTGGGAAAGAATTCAAGACGTTTGCTTGCATAGGGACGTCCTTTAGGAAGTAACTTGTATCGGGTAGTGGTTTGACCTACAAGACTGCAGAAATCTTCGGAATGTTACTAGAAAGGTTTTTCTATGTCCATAAACTTGCTCTGATTTGAGTGTTCTAAGGCTTAAGTCATATTCCCTTCCTGCGATACACTTGGCTAAGTGCCAGGACTTAATTTTTTCAGTTTACTGAAAAAGGACCAGGACAAAGTATTTAAAAAAGAATGCTACTGGTTGCAACTGAATGTCTCAGAGGTTGTAAACAAGAGCAATAGGGAAAACCAAAAAAAAAAGGTTAATTATTCTGAAAGCCTGTCAAATTGTTATCCCCAAATTGAAAATGTTTCTATTCATTGTCATATAAGCAGCCAAAGTTCACCTGGATTGGACTTTCAGTTGTTGACGGTGGTCTTTGTTGTCCTCCAATTGTTCACTCTCACCCATGCCAGCAGTTCCCTGGGGGCTTGCTGTGTGCAAGGTGCTGACCCCAGGTCCTAGGTTAGATGGGAACAGCATGCAGGCAAAGCAGGCACACTTCTGCCTCTTACACAGATCATAGAGATAAGTGTGACTTCGTTACAATGAACTCATTTTCTGTTCCTAAAAAACACAGCTTTACAAATGAACAAACAAGACAGACAGAAACTCACACACTCAGACAACAGTATGGCGGTTACCAGAAGAAAACGGGGTTGCAGGAAGGTCACAAAGGGTAAAGGGGGTCAAAGATGTGGCGATGGAAGGAGATTTGACTCTGGGTGGTAAATACACAATGAAATATATAGGTCATACAGTATAGAATCTTACCTGAAACCTATATAATTTTATAAGTCAATGTCACCCCAATAAATTTAATGAATTAAAATATATATATATATACAATATTAAGCATAAAATTTAATATTATTTTCCCCCAAAAAAGTTTTATGAAATCTTTTGTACATGTGAGAAAATGAACTCCAGTAATCATTTCATCTGCACATGCGATGGGGAATATCTAAAAGTGTGCTCCCTGAGTGACATGCAATTATTATTAAGGAAATTGATGTAAGCTCATGAGGTAGGTCAACAGTTAAACAAAGAAGGCATCCGTACTAGGTAGTATCTCCAATTACATGGGCATATGTAAAGCCCTCAACTATTTCTTGAAGAGTTTCTTGATTCCCGAGTAAAAAAGATTATCACCAGTTCACTTTGAAGGGTTTTGGAAGATCTTTGTAAAAATTATTAGTTTATCTTTTGCTGTATTTTCTTACTTGAACACATAGACTGGACTTTAGAAGTTTTCATTTTATAATTTCTTTTGCTGAAGAGAAATATCTTTTTAAGCATTTAATACTTTTGTACTATTTTCACTATTTGTCTGCTTAGCAAGCATTTCACCAATCTTGAATTTCCGAATTCTCTGGAAGTGCAGATACTTCATATATTTCTTCAGATGGGTGTGGGTGGCAATCTCTGAATACTTGCGTATCTTCAGAATAGTTTTCTCTTACCTGGATAGTTGAAAGCTATCTTAGCTAGATACAGAATTCATACGAGTGACCTTTCTTTTCTCTCAGTAGTCTAGAAATGTGATTTCACTCCGTTCTAGCTGCCAGTTTTAGAAATGAGTTGTCTGTGTCTTGTTCCTTTTCCTATAAGTAATCTGCTCCTTCTGTGTAGATAGAAACATAAGTCTCCTCTTTATCCTCATTATCTGTATGGTAGAAATCCTGTGTAATCATGTATTACTGAACATCTCTTTCTGACTCCACATTTAGGACTTCATATTGGTAGTTTGAAGTCAGCCATGATGGGAGTATTAATCCCAAGCAAGTTAGGCCACGCATGAGGTCTTTCAGTGCATAGAGCCGATCATGTGGCTCCACTATTTAAAACCTTACTATGATTCTCTCCACTACAGGACCAAGTCCAAATTACCTACCTTGGTGCACAAGGCCTTTTATGACCTAGACCTGATTCCCCAGCTCAACAACACAACTTTCAGATGTACCTTCAGAAAGGCACCGCAGCTGCTTAGTTCAGACCTTGATACACGTTATTCCTTCTTTATAGAATACTCTCTCCCCGCACCTTCACACACACACACACACATACACACACAAGCACCTTCAACTGGTATTGCCTACTCACTCTTTATATTTAGCTTAGTTACTCACCTAGAAACCTGGCCTAGACCTGGAGCTCAGCTACCCCTGGATGTTCATAAGTACCCTGTTCTTACCGTTCTTGGAATGCCTTTTATCTTTTATTGTAATTACCTGTTTACTAATTATTTCCCAGTGAAATACTTTACACAAAGATGTGTCATGTTCACCATAGTATTCTTGGTACCTAACAATCAATATCAATTTAGTGAATGCATTAATGTGTTAGTGTATGGATGAATGACTGAATAAAACTCCCCTGATATTCAGAGGCAAAGGATAAAGGATAAGATCATGACCATAAGAGAAAGTTCAAGAGGAAAGAAACTGGAGACACAAACTCATCGTGTGAATCCAAAGATAGAACTAATGTCACTCCAAGGAAAATCAGGACAAATAGATCAGAAACAATAATCAAGAAAAAACAAAAGTATCCTGAAAGGAAGAAGTAATTAAAACCATCAAGCAACATTATTGTTCAAATTTGCAAATTATTGCATTTCCAAAATAAATCCTACTCAATTATCATGGATTATTCTTTTAATATGCTGCCAATTCTACTTTCTGATATTTTTTAGAATAATTATACTTACATTTACTAATGGGATTATACTACAAATTTTATGAATTACATCCCTCAGATGTTAAATATGGTATGGATTGCTCTGAAAAATCCAGATAGCAAAACAGTCGCTTCTCCCTGTCTCTTAATGATTGCTCCTTCTTGATTATTAGCAGCAGGGTTCACTCTCCAATAGGCCCCCTTGCGACCCATCCTGGACTGATTAAAAAGAAAACCTTCGGGTGACTCAGTCTGAAGAAAATCAGCTTAGCTTTCACGTCAGTTATAGCGGAGCCGGGGAGGTCTGTTCAGTGCATTGCTGCTGAGATACTTGACGAGAAGGGCTGTCACTGGCCCTGCATGGATGTTTCACTGCTGTGTCCATGTTTATCCATCCCAGGTGCCCACCAGCATTGCCGTGGTGACCAAACTTGGTCTCCACAGGCTTCAGAACCACTTGCTTCACTCTGGGTGCTCAGGGCACAGTCACTATGTCCACTCCTAGGCCAAGAAGTCATATGAGGTCACCCCTCGTAATCTCTGCTTTCACACGTCCAATTTCCAGTGGCCTTAGGTATCTACTGCAATAACATTTTTTTAGGTTTTTGGGGTAATGTTCTATATTAATATGTTTCCTTATATTAAATCATTATTCTTGTACCATATTGCAGTCAAATGGCATTATTTCATTTCAGATCTTATAAATCTACAGTTAATAATCTATGAATGTGCTTTTCTTCTGTGCTAACATTGTTAGGTTGTGATATAATAACTCCCCAAAATAATTTGAAACATTTTTCTCTTCCTGGAACATATTAGAAAATATGAAAATGTTCTCTCTTCCAAGACTGAAGTAATGTATCCATAATTTGATAATGACTATAAAATTCCCTAATTATAGTTATATTCAGATTTTCCAATTCTCAAACTTAGTCATTGATATCATTTTTCTTAAGATGTAAAAATGTAATTGCATGATTATATTATTTTACTTTCACTGACCTTTAAATCTACTGTTATAATTCTGTTATCATTCTTAATTTGTTACTTGTGCATTTCCTATTTTTTAGCATTAAAATTCCACTGATTAGGATACTTAATAATATTTATAAGACCAACTATTGGCCTATTTTTAATTCTATCATTTGTGGTATGTGTATTCCAACTTACTAACTTCTGCTTATACATGGCTGTTATTTTATCATCTATTTTCCTTTGTTTTCTGTAGTTTTTTTTTTGCTTTCCAAAGTCTTACATTAAATATTTAGTTCTTTCATTTTTTATCTAATGGAAAGAGATAATGTTATGAGTTTATAATTCAACACAGTTTGGGCCAAACTCCATACACACTATTAGAAAGTCATTTTCTAATCTGTAACTATGGCCACTTTTTACTCCTTCACTGAGAAGATACTGAATTTTTTCTTTTTTTAGATGTCCTGTTGGATTTTACTTCTATTTTCATTGCATTTTGGCCAAATAATATATATGCATAATTTCTGCTTTTGAATTTTATTGAGTTTACCTTGGTGGCCTGACAAAAGACCATGTCGGTCACTACTCCACAAACATTTTAAAACAAGGTTGATTCTCTCCTTTTAGGGTACAAAGTTTATTCCTAACTATTAAAACAGTCTTGTTGATTACGTCATTAAAATACTCTGTATCCATGTTTTTGTCTTCACTCAATCAATTAAAAGGATTTAAAACATAATTAATATGGTTGTTTCGGAGACACACAACGGACTTTGTACTCCGCAGAGTGACATGAACACACGCCCTTTGGCTCCCAGCAGTAATGCAGACCCGACTGAGTCTCTACGTTGCACAGACCTTTTTAATAGGAGTGTGATAGGGGTCAACTTTTAGACGAGTTAACTTCTGCTCATTTGTGTTCCAACGTTTCCATGTTCATCTTCTTCCATTCATTTTACTGCTTGTAAGTCAACAGTATAAAAGCTCAGCTCCAGGAAGTCCTGACTTCAAGTATAATTTCACTAAAATATTTTATTTAATAAGAATTTCCATGACTGTTGTCAGGTCATAAAATAGTATGATGCAGTATAAAGAGCCCTAATCCAGATCTGCATTTGTTGTGGGAAAAAAATTTTTTTTTCTTTAAGTCTCATCTTTAAAATTCTATGAATCTATAAACTGGATTTGCTTACAACTGGACCTCACTGAATTCTTTTTAAGATTTTATTTATCTATCCTTAGAGAGAGGGGAAGGGAGGGAGAATGAGAGGGAGGGAAACTGATGTGAGAAATACCAATTGGTTGTCTCTCACAAGCACCCTGCCCAGAAACCGAACCCACGAACCCACAACCAGGCATGTACCCCGACCTGGAATAGATGACCCCTCACTTTCCAGGACAACGCCCAACTAGCTGAGCCACACTGGCCAGGACTAGACCTCATTGGATTCTTGAAACTGGATTTTATAGATGTATAAGCAGGGAGAATCTGATACATAAAAACACAGTTAAAATTTAATTTAGTTTACTGATTGCTTGACTACAAACATGGCATCTTAAAAGTTTAAGGTTCACGAATTATTGTTTACTTTCAGCATTCCCACCAATGACATCCTCAAAGCCAAGTGTGGACATTCCAAATCTGCCTTCCTCTTCCTCCTCCTCCTTCTCTGTCTCACCTACGTACTCCATGACTGTAATAATCTCCATCATGTCCAGCTTTGCGGTATTTGCACTGCTTACCATAACTACCCTTTATTGCTGCCGAAGACGAAAACAATGGAAGAATAAGAAAAGGTGAGATTCGAGTTTAAGCTAACTGCATGTAGTAATGTTTTCAAACCTTCATATGTAATATCGGAATGGGAAATGGGAGGCAGAATACATATAACTGCTAATCTCTATGACATCCATTGCATTGCTTTAGAATTAAGCATCCTCACCAGGATACTTAAATATAATGATGAGTTTTTGCATAGAATCGCATGTCGTTAGGTTAATTTTTCACAGCAGACAGAAGCTAAACAATAATTTGAGAGAATATGGTTATTCCTGCTGCCCACCTCCCCCCTCATCTCCATCACCACTGCTGGACTGGACAGTGACAAAGTTCCTGAGGAAATGTGACTTTTGGCTACAGATCAAACAAAATGCTTCATTGCTCTAAAATGGGAGGATCTTGGGCTGACTTAGTCTGATTTACGTGTTTCCTCCCGATGTTGCTTTCCTTTAGAACTCAAGTCTAAGTTCGGGACCTCACCTGACCCTGAGCTCACGACTGATCTTTCCTATCTCCACCTGCAGAGAATCAGTGGCCGTGACCCTCACTACTCTTCCTTCTGAGCTCCTGCTGGACAGACTCCATCCCAACCCCATGTACCAGAGGATGCCACTCCTTCTGAATCCCAAACTGCTCAGTCTAGAGTATCCGAGGAATAATATTGAATATGTGAGGGATATTGGAGAAGGAGCATTTGGAAGGGTCTTTCAAGCAAGGTAAAGTGACCCATGGGGGGAAAAAAAAACCTCTCCACTGAACTATATTGTGTCTGAAAAGGTACCAGACCATTATCTTGATGCCTATACTTGCCTATAATTGTTATTATCAAATCAGTTTAATTCTTCATGTCATTAACCATATTTGCATTGAGTACTATACTTTGAGCAATTCCCCTCTCTGCTGGAAAGGAGGGTTGTGTATATGGAGAGAATCTTCCTTTGTATAGTGTGTAGGTTACAAGCAATCAGCAAAAGTTAATCATCTTTCCTTTGTAAAAAAAAAGAATTTTGACATACATTTTAAGTCATAATTTCTTTCATTGTTCTTAGTAAACAATCTCAAATGTACTTCTCTTCTGTTTTCTATTGCTATGTTCTCCACTTTGGTTAAAATTTACTCTGAACTAGGGTTTCAGTTCAGAAACTCAGGACCTGATGTGTGTAGACACTAAACCAATGTTTGCAGAATGGCAAAACAGAAAAGGAAAAAATAATGCAAGGATGTCAGAAAACAAGGAGGTATTAGGCCCAATGCCAGCCCTTCCAGTGATCCTGCAGCCCAACACCCGCTCTGCATGGGTCAGAGGATGTGAACCCCAGTGATCAATCACTCTGTCCTGGGGCCCTCAGGCAGGACACGACATGACATCATCACAAAGTAGCCCTGATATGATTTGATGTTTACACGATTAATGAAAAATCTCACACAAATAGTTATTAAAGACCAAAAATACGCAGGTACCCTTTTAGGTGCTTTGAGGGTAGAAAGATGAGTAAGTTATGGTCCCTGTTTTCCAGTATTTTAGATTCTGGCCAGAGATTAAGGGGTGAGGATGGTAATGATAAGCCCATTGGGTCTGTGCACTTTCAAATTCCTGTAATTGATAAATAATGCATTTTTTCAAACTTAATCTATATTGAAAATAGCACCAGTGACTTTAATGAACTGAAATCAAGAAATTTTAAGTACGTTCTACTATTGGTACCTTTCTTGGATTCTGTGGCCCTGGGATGGGCTGCCTTAAGTGGGGGGTGGGTACGAATATGGGTGGATAGAATGTGACGGTGGATAGTGCTCCTAATCTTTGATGTCTTTTGGAATAAACGCGTCTCCAGGGCTCCAGGCTTACTCCCCTATGAACCTTTCACTATGGTGGCAGTGAAGATGCTCAAAGAAGAAGCTTCGGCAGATATGCAAGCTGACTTTCAGAGGGAAGCTGCACTCATGGCAGAATTTGACAATCCGAATATTGTGAAACTCTTAGGTATGAAAAGACAAGGGAAGCAATTCATTGTATCAGAAAATAGAGGCTTTCCAAGTTTTTCCTCCTTCATACTCCACTTAAGCTTTTTTTTTCCTTTTTCACTACTTGATCAGGGAAATGGCTCTGTTCTTTCCATATAATATGAGGGGAGGGTGCCCCCAAATTCGGAATTATCTGCAGGAGGGCGGGACCCTTGTAGCAGGCTTCCCCCCAGGTGAGTGTTCTAGGAACCCATCTGTAACAGTGTGCCAGCTGGTGTTGTTGTGAGAGGTTGCACTCAGTTTCAGTGAATTTTTTTAAGAGTCTTCCAAGGCATATGACCAATCCACGACGGGTGATTTAGGAGCGCACCTGCCCACACCACGCTGAGTGTTCAGCAGTTTTTGACCCAAAACGGCACGACCTCTGTGTCCCACCTGATCCTGCCCTGAGCAACTTCATTTTTGTTTCCCTGGATTAAAAAAAAAAAAAGTCCTCAAAGGGACACGTTTTGCCAATGTGGAACAGGTAAAGCTAAAAACAGCAAAATCACTAAAAAGCATCGAAATTGATGAGTTCAAAACTGCTCTGAGCAGTGGGAAAAAGTCTTGATAGGTGTATCGCATCAAATGGAGAGTACTTTGAAGATGACTGAAGTTTTAACATGTAAAAATAAATACACAATTTTTATAAATAAACTCCATTTTGGGGGATTCCTCTTCATATATTCTATGAAGGAGTAGAACATTTCATTAAATCACTTCAGTTCAAAAAATTAGGTTTTAAAAATTTCTTTAATTTTCTCTCTAGTACATATCAATACGCTTACTGTTTGCTAAAGTCTAAGTAAAAACTAACCTTAAAATAAATAAGCTAAGATAAAAGTATTCTTTATTTCTCTTCCTTTTTGAACAGAGACTTCTAATTATTGCCCCCCAAAATAGATCTAATCATCTATTCTGATGGTGATGTAAAACTGTGTCCAAATGATCTGATATTCCAAGTGGCCCCGTTCCCTGTCAAATGCAGAAAAGTGTTAAGATTTACAAACGTCCTGCTGGCACTAAATCTAAGACTCTTTACATTGGCATTTTTTCTTTCTAGAATGAGTATTGCAAAATGTAAATTTCAGAATGCTTTACCACATCAACCTGAAAACTTCATCTAAGATACCGGATTGTTTTTGTTATTCTTTCCAAATTTCATACGACATCTTCCTTATTATCCTTCCTCAGAGAAGTAGCAGGAACAGAGGAATCACATTACATACTCAAGGCCAACATCCATTCATAAATTTATTCACCAAACACTGAGTACTTGCTCTGCCAGACACGTGATTGGTTTGCAGAATTTAAAGAACACGGTCTCTACTTTTCGATGCTAAAATGTTGGGGTTGGGGAGACCCCAACAGATAAATGGACGAGTGTGACATAGGATAGTACGCACGGTATTAAAGGATGACAGGGGGACATCTGACACTGGCAGGGTCGGGAGCTAAGGCAGCCTATGAGACGTGACAGACACCCTGCATCTGAAAAGGTACATAGATGCTTACACAAAGAGATGGGGTCAGTGTCTGACAACGAAGCTGTCGACAAAAAAAGCCAGGGCTCCAGGTTTTCTCATCTGGTACTTAGCTATTAGAGTGGGCCTTGCAGTGTGCCGCTTTCAAACCCCCCACCTGACAAAGGGTGTCATTTGGTTCCAGGCGTGTGTGCGGTGGGGAAGCCCATGTGCCTGCTCTTCGAATACATGGCCTATGGCGACCTCAACGAGTTCCTCCGCAGCATGTCTCCTCACAGCGCGTGCAGCCTCAGCCGCAGCGACCTGTCCGGGAGGGCTCGGGTCTCCAGCCCCGGGCCCCCGCCCCTCTCCTGTGCTGAGCAGCTCTGCATAGCCAGGCAGGTGGCGGCTGGCATGGCCTACCTCTCGGAGCGCAAGTTCGTCCACCGGGATTTAGCCACCAGGAACTGCCTGGTGGGTGAGAACATGGTGGTGAAAATTGCCGACTTTGGCCTCTCTAGGAACATCTACTCGGCGGACTACTACAAAGCTAACGAGAATGATGCTATCCCGATTCGCTGGATGCCGCCCGAGTCCATTTTCTTCAACCGCTACACCACGGAGTCCGATGTGTGGGCCTACGGTGTGGTCCTGTGGGAGATCTTTTCCTACGGCCTGCAGCCCTACTATGGGATGGCGCACGAGGAGGTCATTTACTATGTGAGAGACGGCAATATCCTCTCCTGCCCCGAGAACTGTCCCCTGGAGCTGTACAATCTAATGCGCCTGTGTTGGAGCAGGCTGCCTGCGGACAGACCCAGTTTCGCCAGTATTCACCGAATTCTGGAACGCATGTGTGAGAGGGCAGATGGAACTGTGAGCGTCTAAGGTTGAAGAGATGCAAATAAAATGCTGCCATTTCCTCTCAGACTCTGTGAGCCAGAGGACTCCAATGCCAGGGGCCCAACAAGAGCTAGATAAGGCCCCAGCTGGTGTGGCTTAGTGGTTGAGTGTCTGCCTGCAAACCAAAGGGTCGTGGGTTGGATTCCCAATCAGGGCACATGCCTGGGTTGCAGGCCAGGTCCCCAGGAGGGGGTACACAAGAGGAAACCTCACATTAATGTCTCTCTTCCTCTTTCTTCCTCCCTCCCTTCCCCTCTCAAATAAATAAAGTCTTTTAAAAAAATAGATAGAAAAGAATAATAGCAGACAGGAGTAGTATGTTATTTGTTTCCAGGGTAAAACAAAGACAGTGCAGAGTAGACCAACCTATAGAAAGTGAGGCAACTTATTGAAAGTTAGTGAGTAGAAACCTCAGGCTAAGAGGAGCACTGCAGATAACCAGAGATAAGCCCTCTTCCTGATGAGGGAAGTTTGTATTACATATTGTGCAGGAAAGAATGTCATCTGTTCCATTCCTGAACCAGCTGGCAGCAGAGGAAGACTCTGCTGTATTAAGTTTTAATATGAAATGTGATACGGAGCTTCATTTTAATAGAGTTCATTCCTGTCCAGTATGAAAGTAACATAGCTTCATGTAAGAATTTAAGTAAAACACAGAATACTAAAAAGAAAGAGAAGCCATTCATTGTCTTCCCACCCAAAGATGGATGTTGAAGGGTTTTTTTTCATTGAATTTCTTCCTTGCATTTAAAGGATACTTTCGTATTTGTCTATAATCTGCAGAGTTGTGGTTTTACTGGGAAAGACAATGGTAAGTCAACAAGACTTCATGCTTACTGGGACCTCTAGTTCCCTTTTCTGCTTTGTGCTTCTGTTTTCCTTTGTGCGCACTGGCAATGAATTTAATCTGCTTATGTTATTCCTAAAGTTTTTCTTAAAGATTTTGTGTCTTATGAATTTATCTTTTCCTTTGAAATTTTTATTGGTACCTTTTTCTTTGCCTTATACTTTTTTTTTCTCTTTCTAAGAACTTCTGTCCTTTTTCAGTTATTTAGCTATTTTTTTTCCTTTTATTTCACATGTGAAAACAAGCACTCTGGCCAAAATAACTTTCAAAATATCATTTCAAAATTTTCCTGTGGACTGATATTATACACCTTTTGCAAAATATTACCATTTGTTCTGTGTTTACTTTTTGAGGCCATGTATTTTAATTTGCCATTCATTAATCTTATTGTCATAGTCTGTTAAATCTCATAAACCTCTGCTTATAATAAGGGATTTCACAAGATGCTCTTACGGCTATGAGTTATTTCAAACATGATGTTTTAGGGCCTTCTGACATTTTTTCCTTTTAGAAACCAATTTAATAGGCAGTACAATCAAGATAGTGTTGCTTACCAACTTTCTGCATGGTAACCTATCATTTTCCTTTTTAGGATTCTTTTTTAAAATGCTCTGGAACTCAGATTCCTGGCACACTAGATTTCTCGGTGGAGCTCCACCCAGGGCGTCTCTGTCCAAGGCCAACATGAATGATATGAGTAAGAACGCAAATTATCCTGCAAAGCAAATAAACAGGGAAGAGAAGATAGCAGTCTACACTCTACCTGCTTACTTTAAGTCAAACTAATTGGTGGTTAGGCACTGGAAAAATGGGCTGAGCTCTTGAAAACAGACTTTCAATGGGCTGCCAGAAGGCTCCACCTGAAATCTCCAAATCCACCTTCATGCAACAACTTGCCGTCTTTTCTGTAAACCCTCCCATGTCCTATTCATAATCAGTCCAGACAAAAACATAGACATTACCCAGGCTTTGTCCTCTCCTTCACCCCGATATTCTATCAGCGTTACTTTCTAACACTCTCCTGCTCACATTCCCTCCTCTTCAACTTGACTGCTAGGTACACCGTGGCTATCACTGCCTGGCTGTCTATTATCTCATTTCCCTCCCTTCTTAGTCCAGAGCTGAATTCCATGGGCTATGGCAATGGAAGGATGTGCTTATTCATGGTTCTGATTTATAAAAAGGGAAATTGGAAGTTAGGATTGAGACATAACTAAAGAGGTGCTTTCCACAAAATTCCTGATTGTAAGTTCAAATCAAGACAGTCTTTCAAAGGACTAGATGAAGAGTAAGGTTGCAGCATGAGTCCAAAACAGAAAGCCAAGAGTCCATGAAAATGGAGAAATTAGAGCGGGCCACCTGCAAGTCCAGAGCTTTCGTGTGGATATCCCTGGCTATTATAAAAGGTCACACATGCTCTGCAGACTTCAAAGATGTCTTCAGGTTTTGTCAGCTGAGATAATTTTATCATATTGGAAAGACATGGAAGTCCGGCCAGTGGGAAAAGCTAACCCACAGCAGAGCAGGTCTGGACAGTTACTCAGGGTACCTACCAGGTGGCTGGTGCTGCAGGGGGCACAGTGGCCCTCAGAACTGGGCTTCTGCAGCCTGTGTTCTATTGTTTGCCACGGTGACCTAGTCGGCTTCCCTCCCCACTGCTGCATGAGACCCTAGGCTTTCCTGTCTCTTTCTCGTGGCTTCTACAGCCTCACCCGTTTTTCGTCTGTGTGCGTGTTCTGATATTCAAGAAAGCAATGCAAAAAAAATCATAGAAATATGGGAAAGTACAGTGAGTGAGTGAGCAACTAAATATTATGTGACCCTTCAAGTTTTTAAAATATGTATAGCAACTGACATCTGAACTAACGAGTGCAGCTCCCACTATAGTAATAGTTATTAAAAACAATACTACTGGATAGCATTTATTGAATGCTTACCATGTGTGCTCTAAGGACTCTAAATACATTCATTTAAATCACACAGCATCCCTGTGTTCTTGGTGAGCACAGAGAGACTGTGTAACTGGCCCAAGCACACAGAGCAACAGCCGAGTTTATGACCAAAAGAGCCGGTGCTCTCACCCACGGTACTGGGTGCTTCTGTTCATTGCAGAGGGAACAATTGAACCACCGGGACTGGATGGAGGTGATTTGTAATTGCATGTGGTTTCAGAGCACACACTATACCCCTCGTATTATTCATTTCATATCTAAGTGTTTTTATTGAATAGCACAATAATGTGGTGTAGCATTATCAATTTAATCAGAAAGTCAAGCAGATGGCGTGTTTATCTTTTTGTTACCTCCAAATATATTTTCAAGTTCTGTTAAGATCGCTCTCATTTTATTAGCGCTCCTCCCCAGATTCTGTATTTGAGGAACATTGACCCATTATTTACCAGTATTGTTTTCTTTTCAAGTAATGATTTTTCCCATTTTATATCATTGTACACATTCAAAAAGAGAGCTGAGAGAGAGACACACACAGTGCCAGGCTGATAACAAGGGTCAGTCAGAACAGGCACCAGTGAGATACGCGTCACCGTAAGCGGTCAAAGGTCAAGCATGGCAAGAGTGCCAGTGTGTATCACATGGCACGGAAGATACAGACAAAATTTCTTCTGGGGGTTGTGATGGAGCAGAAAGAGAACACTTCTTCTCACTTCAGAGTCTATTATGAACCTATTCCATGTCATGAAATAGTCTTTGAAAAGCCCAATTTGACTTTTGAATGATATTCCATTTTATGTCTAGAACATAATTTAGTTAATCTTTTTAACATTTGAGGTTTTTCTCATTTTCACTATTATAGACAATATGATTATGATCATTCTTATGTGAACATGTCCACAATGATCTCTTTGTGGAAATTCTAAGAAAAAAGAGTATCTGGGCCAAAGGTGTGTGTCATCCTGCCCTGAGCACACGGTGTCACGCTCTCTAGAAACAGGGTCTCATCTCTGCACCGTACACGGGATCTCATAGTCCTAGCCATTTGCTGCCATAGAAAATTAATTTTTAAGAGAACTTTAGTATACCTGGTTATGGAAAAATATCTCATTTTAATTTTATTTTTTAATTTACTAGTGAGGTTGAACTTTTCTTGTTCCCAGGTCATTTATAGTTTTACTTTGGAAATCATCTACAGTCTATTTTTCTGTTGTGTTTTTCACTTTCTAATTGATTTATAAGACTCATTTTATAAACTCGTTATACCCTACAGAAGAAGAAAATATATACATACTTTTACCTTAAATAACATGTACAGATGACCTGTGAACAACACAGGATTGAACTCCATAGATGAACTTCTACATGGATTTTTTTCAATACCTCTACCATTTTCCATCAGCAGTTGGGGATCTGCAGATGCAGAGGGCCAATGGGATGCATCGATCTACACCACTTCTTACAGAGCATTTGCAGAGTTTGGTATCTTCAGGGGGTCTAGACCCAATCCCCTCATGGATTCTGAGAAACAACTTAAGTTTTGGGGAAGTTAAAAGGTACATACAGATTTTCAACTGTGTGTGTATGGGGGTTTGGGGGGGTGTCAGTGCCCCTAACCTCCACATTGTTCAGGGGTTGACTATACATTTTTTAGTACAAAAGAAACACTTGTTTATTTTTTTAAAAATAATCAATAATATACAATAATAATATACACAATGTATAATGACAAAGAAAATTTAAAAATGCCAATCAGTGGTAACTAACACTGACATCAACATAAATATTCTTTCAGTCTTTTTCAGATGGGTAAGTAAATAGGGTAGTAGGGAGATGATTGATGGGTAATTTTAAACAAAGGCAGGATCATACTGTTGTATTTTTTCAAGCTTTGCTTTTATCACTGAATATATTATGACTATCTTCCATGTCAAGAAGTATTTGATATCCAAATAGTATTTTATTATATGGACTTATCATTTAATGTAACTATTATTTTATTATTGGACATTTGGTTTATTTCTATTGTTCACTCTAAAATACAATGTTTTACTAATTAATCAATCCTATTGCTAAATTTTGTGAGCATTTATCTTGAATGTTACTTTTTTTATATGTAACTGCTACAAATAGAATTTCTAGATCAATTTCTAGATCAAACTTTTAATGCCTTTCAACATATTGAGAAATTACTTTCATTATTTTACCAATGTATACAGTCTTTCAACCAAATGAGTCCATGCTTTCAACCTCCTCAATACTGAGCATTAACATTTTAATCATTGCCAATATAATAGTTTTAAATTTTTTATTTTGTAGGGTATGCTTACATTTTGTTAAATAAGGTTGAGTATTTTTTCGATGTTCTGGGGACAATTTGTTTCCTCTATGATTTGCCTCCTACCGATATTTTTCTTTTGGATTTTTTCTTGTTGTCTTGTAGAAACTCTTTATATATTAAGGAGTAAAACTTTGTCATACATGTTTCACCTACTTTTATCATGTTAAAACTGTATTACTTCTACTTGTCTTTTATTGTAAGATTTTGTTAATTAGGAAAGAATGCTGACTTTTTAGTCTGTTGAGATAATGGTGGCTTTTTCCTTAATTAATTTGTTAATATGTAGACATGTATGAATTGATTTCCAAATGTTGAAGTATCTTTATGTTCTGGGAATAACCTCTTTTTGCATGTGTCACATCAATATTTTAATTTAATACCAAGTTTGATGTATTAACATATATTTGCACCAATATCTATAAATTTCTAAATTTCAAAGTTTATCATTTTTTCTCTGTTACAGTGTGGTGTGAGCATTATGATAGCTGCAAAAACTTAAGGGTTTCTTTCTCTCTGATCTTGATTAGTTTATTTTAAATAATTGTTATTTTCTTTATAAAAGCAATACATAGATTCATTTAAAGAAAACTTTTAAGAATGATACAAATAAAAAAAATAAAAGTTCTCTAAGTACAAAGCACTTTACCCATTTCTGGTTTCGGTTCTTTTGGTGGTTACCTCTGCACTCCCAACAAATCTGCTTTGATCTCCTTCCGAATTGATCAATTAAAAGAGATATGTAATGTCTCCTTTCCTAAAAAATGGGCATTTTAGCACACTGTTACTCAAACCCCCTCTCTCTTTCCTGAGATATATTAAATTTCTTATGACCAGTTATATTGTTTATCATTGTAACTTGAAAAAAATATACTTAAATGAAGGTTGCTCACTGATCCTGACTAGGTCAGCTACAATTAGAGCTTCCACACTTCTACTACTACTTCCCATTCCCCACACACTGCCTCAGTTTGCCTACAAATATTTGGTTGATTCCAATTATGAAAAAAAAAGCCAAAATTCTGCAGTCAGGTGATTTTATGTAAATACTTATGCATTGCCAAGAAAATAATTATATTTAATTATTTTACTTTGATCATTTATTTGAATCCCCATTATTTTTCTTATTTTCCCTATTTTATGGGTGAAGTATCATTTAAAAGATCACAGAATTGTTCTGTTCTGTTTTTCACATTATTTTGTTTTCTCTTTTTCCTGCCTCTCCTCTTTTGTGCTTTTGTTTCCACAAATGCCCAGTGATCTCTCATTTACCGTATGATTATGAGTGAGAGTTGTTTGGATTCGCATCAGTAGCAGGGGTGGGGTTCCTTGCCAGTTTTGTTGTGATGTTTATGCAGCAGGGCCTTTCCATTGCCAATGTGATGGTTTCCTGGGAGCTTTGCCGATGTGGCTCGTAGAAAGGGCATAGGCAGACTGACTTAGAACTCCCCAAATTATCAAAGTGACAAAACTCAATGAATGAAATACTTTAGTACATTTCAGTCCTGGAGAGAGCTGTTATTCCCTGATCCTTTCCAGCCCCTGTAAAAGCCTATGATTCTCCCCATATTCTGCCACCCTACTAAGTCCAGCACTCACACTGAGGTGTCTTCCCAGGCAGATCTTCCAATCTATTCAGAGAGCAATGGGGCACCGCAGCTGGTGCTGGAGCCTTTTGCTCCACGTGTTCTATACACAAGCATTCCACTGGCCTCCCTGAGGGACAGCCCACAGCCCATCTCTGCTCTCTGCTGACTCACAGCCTGGAGTCTGTGTTCATGCAAAACCACGTCCCACCTCCCCTGGCAACTGGCTCATGTTTGCTGCAGGTAGCAGTTTACATCTCCCCTGTCCTGCATTATTTATAAATAAGAACATTAAGATACTTTCTGCTTTCCAAGTATTTGTCCAAGTTATGGCACGTACATTGGCCCAGCATGTGTGTAGATTTAGTCTTATTCAAATGCATTTACTGTCACCTTGGTGAAATTGTAGAGGAAAGGACAGGGTTCGGTCCGCCACTTTGATCAAGAATAGTTGAGCTAGCTTAGGAATGATCTGCTCATTCATCCTTGATGTTCTTTGTTGGTTCTTTGTTTCCTCCCTCCTCCTCCCAGCCCCTTAACATTGGAACAGGCCACCCACAGCTTAGTCCTTGGGCAGCACCTCTCTCTCATGTATGCACTTTCTAGTCGTCCCATCCTGTCCTAGGGCTATAAATGCCACCTATGTGCTGAAATTTTTATCTTTAGCTACAACCTCTTGTCCCAGCTTCATACTCATATTTCTAACTGCGACTATAAACAGAGCAACTTCTCCTCCCCAGAGCCAGGCTGTCTGCTCTATTTCCGCACTTGATGTAGCAGCAAAGCTGAAAAGTAACTCGCAACTTCGTGTTGCCTTTCACGTCAGGTAGGAGCCCCAGAGCCTCCCAGTATGAGGGCCCACTTTGCGTCCTGGTGCTGTTGGCTCAGATGGGGATTCTCGGGACTGCACACTGCATCCATTTGAACAGCTTTCAATACCGTCTGCCCTTCCTATCGCAGCTGGAGACATTCACCAGTTTTTTGCACGTACCTGTTATCCACCCCAGATCTGCAGCACGGAGCTGGACTTTTCCTTTTAACACGGTCTATGTGTCACTCTGTGAAATCCCTTCCCACCTCCCCTAACAGCTGGGAGGGGAGCATGGTGCAGGGGGTGGGGGACAGCATCTGGGAAGAGAGAAGTTGATGCTGGGCTCATTACTTATCGCAGGGCGGATGTTGCCCTGTCCTTGTGGATTCAAATCTCTACGACAAACCCCTTTCAGGTCACCACACTTTTACTTGTTTCTGGTCAATGAAAGTAGCAAAGTCGCCAAGCACAGACACACATATTTTTACTTTGGTACCGATCACTGTAAAAACAATGGCCCCTCTCACTCAGTGGCTTTCAGTGCTGTGGGTCATTCCATTTACCGCAGGGTCAGCCACTACATCAGTAGAGAAGACTCATAGGCATGGGGGTCTGATTAAAAATTGACAGTCTTTGCCACTGCGGTTTTTATCATTATGAACAAAGCCACACATGTGCCTAGGTCTTCGCTTTGCCTTCTAAAAGATCATGTCATCTGCGCATGAAGTAAAATAAAGGTGAAGGGAAAAAAATTACACAACTTGTAAAAGTTTACATGTCTTTTTTGCTGGGTCCCTCTTAATTAAAAACATTTAGGAGACTCGAAAGGGATGTTTATTTTTTTTTCTTAGAAGCTTGTCATCATATGTAATTATGTAAGGAACCATCGTGACTGTCCTTCCAAACCACAGCCTCTGGAACGGATGCCCCATACTTAGAATTTTGCTCATACGAGGAGAAGCCACCTGCGCTCGCTAAGGTTGTGTCTGAGAGGTGGGAACCACAGATGCGCACCAGACTCACACAGACACTATCATTTGCTGGGTGTGCTCTTAA